TTTCCAATAGAATCCTTTTGTGGTGCTTTCCAAAGGGTACAGAGCAGAGGTGTATCCTTCCCGTCCCTGTGGTTATGCTGCTGCTATGCTGCTGCTATGCTGCTGCGATGCTGATGCTATGCTGCTGCTATGCTGCTGCTATGCTGCTGGTATGATGATGGCATGCTGCTGCTATGCTGCTGCTATGCTGCTGCTATGCTGCTGCTATGCTGCTGCTATGCTGCTATGCTGCTGGTATGCTGCTGCTATGCTGCTGCTATGCCCAACTCCTTTCTGGGCGCAATGCCCACTGCGTCGGGTGCAATGCCCAACCTTTTCGGGTGCAATGCCCGACCCTTCGGGTGCAATGCCCAACCCTTCGGGTGCAATGCCCAACTCCTTCGGGTGCAATGCCCAACCCTTCGGGTGCAATGCCCAACTCTTTCGGCGGCGATGCCCAACCCTTCGGGTGCCACGGCGCTGCGCGAGGGGCAGTGGTGCCATTGGATCGGCGTGGAGGACAGGTTCAAGGCCATGGGGGACGTGATCAAGTTTTGCCGCGACAACAAGATCTTCAGGGCGTGCAGGTCTACATGAGTACACTTGATGGTGTACAGGGGGCCGTGCGCGCGGGGGCGCGTGCAGCATGGGGTTCCGATTGCATTGTTAAAAATTGTGTAAATTTCGGTGTAGGAAAACATTGGTTTCGATACGGTATTTCCCATATAGAATGGTCGTCGGGGGTCCCCCTGAGGGGGGGGTGGGCTACAACTACTACACATGCGACTAGTACTACTCCATCGTCATTATGTCCGAGATCCTTAACTACTACGACTACGACTACTACTTTCCTTGTCCACATGGGCGATGTTTTATCTCCGAGGCTCACTATCGCCGGAAAATGCCGGAGATGAGCCCCCCCACATGAGGACTTGAACACTATCCTGAATTGATAGGGTTTTTAACAGCAAGTTGATCGGTTTGCAACCTTGTTTTCTTCCTGATCCCTCCCCCCTCCTCCCTCCCTCCTCCCTCCTCCTTCCTCCCTCCCCTACAACAACAACTACTACTAACTACTACTACTACGACTACGACTACTACTACTACTACTACTACTACTACTACTACTACCACTACTACTACTACTACTACTACTACTACTACAACTACTACTACTACTACTACTACTACTACTACTACTACTACTACACTACGACTACTACTACTACTACTACTACTACGGGTGCGACTAGTACTACTCCATGACCACTATTTCCGATATCCTCAACTACTGCGACTAAGACTACTACCTCCCCTCCCCCCTACGGGCGATTTTTTTCTCCAGGCTTTCAAATCGGTGGAAAATGCCCGAGATGAGCACACACGCACAAGGACTTGAACGCCATTCTGACTTGATAGGTTCGGTACGCAGCAAGCTGATCGGTTTGCAAGTTTGTTTTCTGCGAAGCCCCTCCGTCCCTCCTCCCTCCTCCTTCCCCGCCCCCCTACTACAACAAAAGCTACTTCGATGACTATTGCGACTACTACTGCTACTACTACTACTACTACTACTACTACTACTACTACTACTACTACTACTACTACTACTACTACTACTACTACTACTACTATTACTACTACACTAATACTACTACGACTACTACTACTACTACTACTACTACTACTACTACTACTACTACTACTACTACTACTACTACTACTACGACTACTACTACTACTACTACTACTACGACTACTACTACTACTACTACTACTACTTCTTCTACTACTACTACTACTACTATTACTACTATTACTACTACTGCTGCTGCTACTACTACTACTACTACTACGAATACGACTACTACTACTACTACTACTACTACTACTACTACTACTACTACTACTACTTCTACCACTACGACGTTTACTACTACTACGACTACCGCGACTACTACTACTACTGCTACTACTACTACTACTACTACTGCTACTACTACTACTACTACGACCACCACTACTACTACTGCTACTACTACTACTATTATTATTACTACTACTACCACTACTACTACTACCACTACTACTACGACTACTACTACGACTTTGTTGCGACGACGACGATGACGACGAAGGCGACTACTACTACGACTTCTACTACTACTACGATTACGATTATTCCTAATGGTTCTACGACAACGACTAGTACTACTACTACGACTCCTACGAGTACTACGACTGGTACTACGAGGACGACTACTACTACTGCTACTACTACTACCATTAATCTTGCTACTGCTACTACTACTACTACTACTACTACCACTTCTACTACTACTACTACTACCACTATTAGTTCTACTACTACTACTACTACCACCACAACGACCACGACGACCACTACTACTACTACTACTACTACTACTACTGCTACTACTACTTCTGTTATTACTATTACTACTACTACTACTACTACTACTACTACTACTTCTACTACTACTACTACTACTACTACTACTACTGCTGCTGCTACTACTACTACTACTACTACTACTACTACGGCTACTAATACTACTACTACTGCTACTACTACTACTACTACTACTGATTCTGCTGCTTCTGCTGCTACTACTACTACTACTACTACTACTACTACTACTACTACTGCTACTGCTACTACGACAACTATTACGACGACGATCTGTTCCTCCCACCCCTTGCCCTCTCCCTCATCATCCTATACATCCTCATCATCTTCCTCATTGTCCTTATTGCTGCGGCTTGCTGGGGGAAAAATTATTATTATCCCTGTGCCCTGAATTGTATGATCCCCACCCTGAGAATCTCAGGGGTACGGGGTTGAGTGCCTAAGGTCGCGCAGGTCCCCTAGGTCTTACAGGTACTACAGGTCTAGCAGGTCCCACAGGACTTACAGGCTTCGCAGATCTCGCAGGCCCCACGGGTCCAATAGGTGTACAGGTTTTGCAGGGCGCACAAATGCCACAGGTCTCGCATGTCCCACAAGTCCCACAGGTCCCACAGGTCCCACAAGTGTCTCACGTCTCGCGCGCGTCACAGGCACAACAGGTCAGGTCCCACGGGTCTCACAGGTCCCGCACGTTTCACGGTTCCCAAAGGTATCGCTGGTATCGCAGATACCACAAGTTTCATAGGCCCCACAGATCTCACAGGTCCTGCTACAGGTGTCGAACTTCCACAAATGTTGCACGTCCCATGGGCCCCACATATGCCGCAGTTCTGGTAAACACGCAGGTCCCACAGGTACACTAGGTCCCATGGGTCACCTCTGCTTCTGTTTACAAGGGCTTTTGGGGTTAACGTGCTTTCCATGTTGCCCGAACTCTTCTGTCCGAAGGATGTTTATCTGGCCCGATCCAACAGTCCAGGATTTCGTGATACTACCCGAAAGAAGGAGGCAGAGGAGGAGGAGGGGGGGGAGGAGGAGGAGGACGAGGAGGAGGTGCCGGGGGAGGAGGAGGAGGAAAAGGAGGAGGAGGAGGACGGGGATCTGTAGCAGCATTTGCAGGAGTTTTTCAGTTCCCTCCCAGTTCCAACTCTTAGCTCAGTTCAAGCTCGAGCCCCAGATCCGACTCGAGCCCAGCTCCTGCCCCAGCGCCATGCAACATGACCCCAGGAAGGTCTTCGTTGCTGTTGAAGCCGATGAGAGCCTTTTGCCGTTCAAACTCCATGAGACCTGAGACCCTATGACTCTTATGAATAAAACAAACCTCGTGCGCCCTAGAGCCCTCGGAAAACCTTCTTGACCCGTGGCGCCCGCCACCTCGAAAAGTTTTGGGACCGCGCCGCCCCATTCCCTCATTTCCACTGAACGGCGATGGCGGTCGCAACGCACCTCGCTGGCGCGTTCGACCAAGATTGTAATGGCGAAGCGTCCTTCCCTCCCCCTGCCCCGTTTCCTCCCTTGCCTGCTTCCCTCACTCTCCTCGCTCGCCGCCATGGCGCCGTTTGCTGCCGCTCCTGGCGCGCAGCCCCCCCCTGGTGCCTTTGGCTGCGGATGCAGCGGCAGGGCGCACACTCGTTCTACCTCGTACAGAGCACCGGCAGCGCCCGTGGGTGCACCGAAGCCGCGGCCCGGCTGCTGCCACAGCTCCGGTGCCGCTGCCAGCTGCACTGGCCCACTCGACAGTGAACTCTTCCGCGTCTGAGTCCCCTCCCCCTCCTCCAGTCTTCCGCGGACGCCTCGTCCCCCTTTTTCCCCCGCTCGCGCCGGCCAATCGCGTAAGGTCGCCCATGATCCCCGTTCGCTGGTGCAGATGTTGTGCCTCGCCACCGACGTACATCAAGTATCGGAGAGGCGTGGCAAATTGGTACAGTCTCGTACGTGCGTATATATATACAGCTCTTAATACATGCCGAACTGCATATATGTATCCGGTGTGTGAAAAATGCGAGACCGATGCAGAGAGAGAGAGGGAGATAAAGAGAAAGGGAATCAACAAAGGCATCCAGATACATATGCCTACGAGAAGAGGACGGTACATACATGTGAATGTGTTGTTTGCCGAAGCATCGATATATGTATATATATATATATATATATATATATATATATATGTGTGTGTGAAGTTGTGTATCGTGTATGTACATATGTGTACACCATCATGTTCAGATATGTGTCGTTGTCATACATCTGTTATAGATGTATGCAGAGAGCTTGTGTGAGACAGGGGAGAAAGAGAGAAAGAGAGAGAGAGAGAGAAAGGGACATCGATAAAAGGGACATATAGAAAGCGAGAGAGAGAAAGAAAGAGAGAGAGAGAGAAACAAACATATTCCATGCGAGGGTGACACAGATGACGGGAGAGAGAGAGAGAGAGAGAGAGAGAAAACGAGGGAACGAGATGCGGAGGAGGAGGAGGAGGAGGAGGAGAAGGAGGAGGAGGAGGAGGAGGGAACCGGTGAGGGACCTGGAGCCAGGATTTCGGATATCTCTGGGGAGGAAGGGCGAATACAGATACAGACGGAATTCTCCGTTCCAGGACCACGAGAAGGGCGACAAATGGGAACAGCTGTTCATTGCGCTCTCGGTGATAACGGTGCCAGGCGACGTGTCGGTGCTCATCGAGGACCCCGTCCCGCCGGACTTGTCCAACATGCACAACGTCAGGTGTGACTCAGCGCGCCTCTTCGTCATCCTCTGCCTACGACTCCCCTGCTCCTCCGCTTCGTCCTACTCAGCGAGCGTCTTCCGCCTCTTTCCACGCGGACAGTAGATCGCCAACACATGTAGCATCGCAGGGGAACGGGATTGCAGGGTTTGACCACGGGCGTGTGGTTCAAGGCAAGCCTACCGCGCCCACTATACAGTGTATCACACACCCTTCAACTATACATTCCGCTTCACAGCAAACGTGCGTTCTCATATCCCGTTTTACATTTCTCATTGGTAGAGGAGCACCTAGCTCCGTGATCCGTCCTCCTTCACAGAATACATACGTTTTCACATCCCGCTTCACATGTCGAGTTCCCCCTACTCCTCCGCACCAGGTTTGATTCCCACGTTCCCTGTGCCCCCTTTCTTCTGTGCTCGCGGTCCTCGACCCTATCCTGCCTAAGTGGGCGAAGTTGGGCTGGTTGAGTGCCTCTCTCTGTTTCTCCATGTTCCGCGTCCTATGTTTCGTCCTACGCGTTTTCGTTAAGTTGTTGCTCGGCATCTGAATCATAATTTGCAGATTAGCACTCCAACTACCTCTGCTCCTTCCCTGGTTTCACGACCTCGCCCTTCTCCTTGCCCTCCGCACCTGCTCCGTCGTTCCTCATCTGGCTCCGCCTCCTCTAACATGGGCTACCATGCCTCTTCCCCTGGCTCCTGTGCCTCCTTCCCGTACCCCTGCTCATCATCCCCCTTCTCCTCGGGTCTGACTGCCTTGCGTCCTCCTCCTCACCCATTCTTCTGCCCCCCCCCCCGTCTCAGGTTCAACTACCGCGCCTCCCTGGTCCAGGGAGGCCAGGGGCACACCAGCGAGGGCTCGGTCTGGCTCGGCCTGGGCGGGGAGCATAGGCGCTTCCGCCTCTCGGGCGAGGCCATGGGCACGAAGGCCGCGGGAGGGAGGCAAACCTTCCGGGGAGGGGGGAGGGAGGCCTGCCTCCGGCCACGAGCACCCACCAGGCGAGCACCACGGCGGGAGGGCCCCGCACGCTCTCAGCCTCGGGGGGACTGCCAGCAGGCCTTGGCATCGCTCGGACGTGTGCATTTTTCCCGGCGAGGACCATCGACGCATCCTGGATCACCTTGCGAAGAATCACGCACGGAATCGAAGCATGCACAGGGAATGGACGTCCGAGCGATGGCGAGAGGTCCCAGCCCTCGTCAGACACAAGTTGCAGGCAATTTCCCCCCCCCAATCCCCGAGTTTCTGCCGAAAAGTTCGACCACCCGGGAAAAAAGAGAAAACCGGAAATGCACCCCCTTTGGATGCTATCCGGACGCACCCTTATCGAGGACGGACGCCTCCCTATCGTATCCCAGAGTTGGGCCCCACGAAGCCTGGGATACGGGGTCGACGCATCTCCTGCGAACAAGCTCCTGCGAACAAGCGGCTGCAGGCACCGCGCGTGAGGTTATCCATGCTCCGAGCGTGTCTCTCCCGCCCTTCTCCTCCTCCTCTTTCCTGCTGCACCAGAGCGAGACGGACCAGTCCGCGGCCCGCCTCCTGGTTCGAGCGCGTGGTGCCCCATGTCGCTGCGACGGAAAGTGCGGGCCTCGCGACACCGTGGTGCCCCACATCTCCGCGCCCCAGCGCGGGATGGACCACAGCCTGCGGACCGAGAGTGTAGACCCTAGAGTCCACAGCGGCATCGCCCCTCGCCGGCGCGGCCGCCGGCGCGGCCGCGGTCGAGGCCGCAGTCGAAGCCGCAGCGGCCGTCTCGGCGGTCTCCGCGGCCGCGCCGCGGCGGCAACTGCTGCGGGGAAGGTTCGGAAGGTGGAGGCCAAGCGGTTGCAACCGTGCGTTCTGGTTCGAACCCGCTGTGGCTGGGCACTTTCGGCCTCGGGGTGGCACCAGCAGACCCCGGGAGCGTCAAGAAGCGGCTCGGCACGAGCGGCCGCTCCCCGGGAACGGAGTCCTGGCCATCGGTGGCCCTCGCTGCGAGCAAGAGTCTCACGACGTTCGGGTCCTGGAGAGGTGGGCAGGGAGGGGAGGATGGTAGGAATAATCGGGAGGGGTGGAGGAGAGACAAACAAGAGAGGCCTATACATATATTTGTACGTATCAGCATTGCATACCTATATATTTATGTATTTACACACGTGTACATACACACATATACGTAACTACAGATATGGAGGGAGAGAGAGGGAGAGAGAAACAAAGCAACAACAAAACAACAAGCAAGCACCAGGGAGGGGGCAAACATCCAGAGGGAGGTTTGAAGGGCAGGCAAGCAGACGAGGTGTGGGAGAGATAATGATGGCGAAATAGGCCATGAGATGGAGGGGGCTGGGGAGTGAGGGAAGGAGGGAGAGATAGGGAGAGCGAGTGAGAAACATAGAGAGAGAGAGAGCGAGATATGAAAAACACAGAGAAAGAGAGAGAGAGAGAGAGACAGAGACGGATAGGGAGAGAGAGCGAGAGAGAGAGAGAGAGAGAGTTGGGGAGGAAGGGTTGGAAGAGAAATACAAGGATGTGATATGGTTTGGCTGTTGTCAGAGTGTTGTAGTGGACTGGGGGAAGGAGAATGGAGGGACGACGAAGGTGGGCATTGGGGAGGCAGGCGTTGGAAGGGGGGAGGGGGAGTGGAATGTGCGGGCGGGAGGAAGGTAGAGAGGAGGAGACGGAGCCAGGTTGGGGACCTCACGATGGATCTGGTGGCCGAAGCCGGCAAGAAGGTCTACGCGAATGTAAATCTCAGTGCCCAGCTCGAATCGCAATGCGTCGTTTATGATTACCCTACCGTGGACCGGCAAGAAAAGAAGCACTTGCACGAGCTCGCGTCACAGGGGCTCGCATTCTTTGCCATCGCAGAACTCGACAGTGAGGACTGCTGCATTTTCGTAGCCGAGCTCGCTCGTGGCCGACTGCTCCACATCTGGGTGGACAAGGAGCAGACGGATAAGCCCAACATGATACTTCGGTCAGAGGTGCACAAGAACGGGGAGGTCTTGCGCACCACGGACATACTGGACTGGTCGGTTAACGAGGGCGTCCAGAAAAATGTGAAGCCCAAGAAAGAGTGGGGCTGCGCGCCCCACCGCGAAGGCGACGAGCAGCTGGCACGATTAGGCCTGTCCCATCCGGTGCACAAGAAGTCCGTGCAGTTACAGGACTCCCTGTACGCGCTCAAGGAGCTGCCAGCTGACTTCACGCTGATGGAGATTCTGGGCCTCACCGGCGACGTGGGCATCATGGTGCAGGAGCCGAAGCCACCAGACCTTTGGGCTGTGCCTGCGGTCACCTTCGGCTATACTGTGTCCCTCGGGCAAACAGATTCAGAATTCACAGACACAACGAGGATCGCTGGCCACTTCGCAGCCGATTTGAACGGGAACTTGATTCAGATCACGGCTGGCAGCAGTGCATCTGGCATCTCAAACGTGAGTGTCCTGCTTGACCCAGAGCAGCTGGCGGTGCTCGAAGAACGAATTCTTGCATAAACATTCGTTTTTTGAAGGTCCGCGCGGATTTCTGGGATCGGTGCTGGACCCCACGGAGCTCGCCAGGGACGGCGCCAGAAACGCCGCCAGAGGGACCCAACGCCGATCCGAGACATCCGCGCGGAGATCAAAAAGTTTATGTTAACGATGTTTCTTTGCGGGCCCCCAAAAAATACACCACGACCACGTCGATTCCTCCTCCCTCCTCTAGTTACCCTCCTCTTCCTCTCCTTCCTTTTCGGGAGGGGGAGGGGGTGAGCGAGGTCGTGGTGGTGGTGTGCAGTGGAGGCCCATGCCAAGAAACACCCTGCTTGCCTCCAGGGTGCCCTGGGTGTCTTGGGCTTCGATGGGTTTGCCATGGGAAGCGTGACGCCCCCACACCAAACATCAGTGGATGTCCTGGGGTCTCAGGGTTGGGCTTCTTGTGGAAGGCTTCTTGTGTTCGAGCCCCCACTGTATCTGTTTGGGCCCCGTACTCCTGCTCCCCCAGGTGCAGGTGACGGAGCCGGACGGGAAGACGTCGTGCCTGACCCTCCCGGTGAAGGACAGCCAGGAGAGCGAGGAGCGGATCCAGGAGGCGCCCGGCGTGTTCGAGGGCGTGGAGGAGTCGGGGGCGGCCAGCGGAGGTTGATAGACCTCCTACCCTGACTCGTGGCTTAGCGAATTGGCCGGTTTCGGTTCGCGAGAGGGCGTCGCGGCCGGCATTTGGTCTACTCAAGGGAGGCTTGTCCACAGCCGAGACCAAGAGGGAGGTGATGACTTAGGGGGGGGTGGATATGATGGCGTGGGCCATGATAACTCCCCAGCTTGTGGCGCCTCTCCTCATTTCCTGACGTCCCCAGCCCCCCTCCCCCCGGGCCGCGGACATGCCGCCAGCCATTGAAGCTTCGCCCGCCCTCTCGGACGCCCCCCTCCTGGCCGCCCCCCGAGGAGGTGAACGGCTCCGAGTGCGACCGCTTCTCCTACACAGGTACCGGTCCGCATCAGGACAGCCTGCGGCTCTGCTCTCGGCGACCTCCAAGCGGGGTGGTGACCACACCGTGTGGTGAGTTGGTGGGGATTCGGGTTAAGTCGGGCCTGTCCCTCGACAGCAGGAATATTCCCAAATGGTCAAAATTTATAGCCAGAGTGCAGTATCCCCAAACAGGGTTTTCGAACCCACTGCGGTTTCCAAGGTCGATTGCGTGCCAGTCCAGTGCGGGCTGGCATGGCATGTTAGAACATGGCAACATGATCTTTGCACATGAGATGTTTACACGGAAACTTGTGTGACGCATGCCTATCAGGAAGCTAATGCCAGAGGGTGTCGTACTCTCTCGCACCTGGTCGACGAGTAAGCTGTCGGGTCGGCACTGATAGGTTCCACCGCCATGCTGTGGACTCGGAAGCAGCTGTAAGAGGAAACGGGGGAGGGCGCGGAAGCAGGGGGCATGTCGTGATGTTCCCTCTGGGATATCGAGAGGTACGCGGCGCACGTCTCAAAAGAACAATCGTGACGTCGGATGTCTGGGGAGGGCGGAAGGCAGGCCGCGCATGACGGATGCTGAGGCGGCAGAAACGACGACGGCGGGGACGGGGAGGCGGAGGCAGAGGCGCAACAGCGGGAGGCGGGAGGCGGGAGGAGGGAGTAGGGAAGAGGAGCCAGGCGGGAAGCGGGAGGAGGGAGGCGGGAGAAGGAATGAGAGAGGTTGTGATTGGAGCCCTTGTGCTACGAAACGTCTCACGCAGAACGGGCCAGACCATCTCGCGCGCAACATCTTCGAGCTTCGCAGTGTGAGGATGGCTCAAGCGATACGGGCTGGACCACCTCGCGAGCGACATCTTGGAGCTCAGTATTGGAAGGATGTCTCAAACGAAACGGGCCTGACAACCTCTCGAACTCGTTCTGACAAGTCCACGTCACACTCGCTTCCCTTTAGGTCCTCTCCTGTAACTCCCTTCATTCTCCCTCCTCCTCTTCCTCCTCCTCCTCCTCCTCCTCCCGCTCAAGGTACGTTCACTCCTCCTCCTCTTCCCCCTCCCCCTGCCTGCTCCCTCATCCACATCATCCTCTTCCCAGAGTTGCGAGGATGTCTACAGCGTACTGGACCACCTCGCGCGCGGCATCTCGGACCCCAGAGTTGCGACTATGTCTCGGGCGAAACGTGCTGCGAGGAAGTCTCAGGCGAAACGGGCAGGACCACCTCGAGCGCGGCGTCTCAGAGCTCCGAGTTGCGGGGGTCTCCTGGGGACTTCCTGGGGCTTCCTCCTGGGCCTCCTGTGGCCTCCTGGACTCCACCTGGGGCTTCCTGAAGCCTCTTGGGGCTGACAGGGGGGGATATCTAACATGTGGCCGTCTGGGCCCCTCAAAATGGGGGCGGGGCCACATGAGCAGGAAAAATCAACGAATTGGCACTGGATGTGTATTAACTTGACACGTTCTGGTAGGGGGCCTCCTAGGGCCTCCTGGGAGCCTCATGGGAATCTGCTGGGGACCCCTGGGGCCTGTCCTGGGCGTCCTGCGGCCTCCTGGAGCTCTTTGGAGCCTCCTGGGGCTCCCAGGGTCCCAGGGAAGATATGTAACATGTGGTATTCTGGCCCCCCAGGCTGGACCACCTCTTGCGCGGCATCTGGGAGCTCAGAGTTGCGAGAATGTCTTGTGCGAAACGGGCCTGACCACCTCGCGCGCGGCATCTCAGAGCTCAGAGTTGCGAGGATGTCTCAGGCGAGACGGGCCAGACCACCTCGTGCAGGGCATCTCAGAGCTCAGAGTTGCGAGGACGTCTCAGGCGAAACGGGCTGGACCACGTCGCGCGCGGCATCTCCGAGGTCAGAGTTGCCAGGATGTCTCAGGCGAAACGGGCTGGACCACCTCTTGCGCGGCAGCTCAGCTTAGAGTTTCGAGGGTGTGTCAGGCGAAAGGGGCCAGACCACCTCTCGCGCGGCATCTCAGAGCTCAGAGTTTCGAGGACGTCTCAAACGAAACGACCGGACCACCTCTCGCGCGGCATCTCGAAATGCAAAAGTGTGAGGATGTCTCAAGTGAAACGGGCCTGACCACCTCTCGCGCGGCATCTCGGGGCTCAGAGTTTGGAGGATGCCTCAGGCGAAACGGGCCAGACCACCTCTCGCGCGGCATCAGAAAGCGCATAGTTGCGAGGATGTTTCAGGCAAAATGGGCCAGACCACCTCGCGCAGGGCATCTCAGAGCTCAGAGTTTGGAGGATGTCTCAGGCGAAACGGGCCAGACCACCTCTCGCGCGGCATCTCGGAGACCAGATTCGAGGATGTCTCAGGCGAAATGGGCTGGACCACCTCTTGCGCGGCATCTCAGGGCTCAGAGTTGCGAGAGCGTCTCAGGCGAAATGCGCCGGACCACCTCGCGCACGGCATCTCAGAGCTCAGAGTTTGGAGGACGTCTCAAGCAAAACGGGCCGGACCACCTCTTGCGCGGCATCTCAGGACTCAGAGTTGCGAGAGTGTCTCAGGCGAGACGCGCCAGACCGCCTCTCGCGCGGCATCTCAGAGCTCAGAGTTTGGAGGATGTCTCAAGCAAAACGGGCCGGACCACCTCTTGCGCGGCATCTCCGGACTCAGAGTTGCGAGAGTGTCTCAGGCGAAACGCGCCGGACCACCTTGCGCACGGCATCTCAGAGCTCAGAGTTTGGAGGATGTCTCAGACGAAACGGGCCGGACCACCTCTCGCGCGGCATCTGGGAGCTCAGAGTTTGGACGATGTCTCAGGCGAAACGCGCCGGACCACCTCTCGCGCGGCATCTGGGAACATCCCGGACAACTTAGAAGCGAGAGTTGCGAGGATGTCTCAGGCGGAACGGCCCGGATCACCAAATTTATCTGAGGACGTCTCTTATTTGATTTCCCTCGGCCGGAGTTAGTTTCTATCACAAGAGCACCCCGTTAAGCAAGCTGTTTTGGGAAATAGTCAGGGGACTTGTTTTTTGAATATTGTTGGGCATTTTTGTATGTTTTTTGACAATTGTTTGTTTTTCGTTCAGAATCCACCTGTAGGGGGATATGCCCGACCTAAGACTCGGGTTGTTCTCTGAGGACGTCTCGGGCGACTGGGGCATCCGAGGTGCCGAAACCGTGCGTTGACGGACCGTGCGGTGAGGTCTTGGGGGATTTCGAGGTCACCGCACGGTCTGTCACCGCACCGTTTCAGGGCTCCAAATCTTCGGGCGGGTGGTAGTGGGGGGTGACTTACATGGGGGGGTGAAGAAAGGGGCCCTACGGGAGCTCTTCACCCCCCCCTTGCGGTCACCCCCCATTGCCACCCGCCCGAGCTCTTCCTCCACCTTGTTTGGTGGCGGCTGGGGGTCTGGGGGGAGGTTCGCGGTTCTGGGTTATGTTTTTCCCCAACCATCTTGTGGTGTTGGGTCTTCTTTTTGAAGAGACGGTGCCGCGCGTCTCCTCCTCTCCTCCTCCTATTCCTCCTCCTCCTCCTCCTCCTCCTCCGCCTCCTCCTCCTCCTCCTCCTCCTCCTCCTCCTCCTCCTCCTCCTCCTCCTCCTCCTCCTCCCTCCTTGCCGTCTCCGCACGTGTTTGTTTCGGCACACACCTCACACGCTTCGTGGCACCATAGGGAGCTCTATCTAACGTCCCAGTGGCGCAGCCCGCATGGCGGCGCCGCCCCATTTTGGCACACCCTCACACGTGTTGTGGCCCCACAGGGAGCTCCATCTAGGGTCCCAGTGGCGCAGCCCGCATGGCGGCGCCGCCCCATTCTGGCACACCCCTCACACGTGTTGTGGCCCCATAGGGAGCTCCATCTAGGGTCCCAATGGCGCAGCCCGCATGGCGGCGCCGCCCCATTCTGGCACACCCCTCAAACGTTGCGTGGCTCCATAGGGATCTCCACCTAAGGTCCCAGTGGCGCAGCCCGCATGGCGGCGCCGCCCCATTTTGGCACACCCCTCACACGCGCTGTGGCCACATAGGGATTTTCATCTAAGGCCACAGTGGCGCAGCTCGCATGGCGGCGCCGCCCCATTTCGGCACGCCCCTCACACGTTTCGTGGCCCCGCAGGGGGCTCCATCTAGGGTCCCAGTGGCGCAGCCCGCATGGCGGCGCCGCCCCCGTTTTGGCACACCCTCACACGTGTTGTGGCCCCACAGGGAGCTCCATCTAGGGTCCCAGTGGCGCAGCCCGCATGGCGGCGCCGCCCCATTCTGGCACACCCCTCACACGTGTTGTGGCCCCATAGGGAGCTCCATCTAGGGTCCCAATGGCGCAGCCCGCATGGCGGCGCCGCCCCATTCTGGCACACCCCTCAAACGTTGCGTGGCTCCATAGGGATCTCCACCTAAGGTCCCAGTGGCGCAGCCCGCATGGCGGCGCCGCCCCATTCTGGCACACCCCTCACATGTTGCGTGGCCCCATCGGGATCTCCACCTAAGGTCCCAGTGGCGCAGCCCGCATGGCGGTGCCGCTCCATTTTGGCACACCCATTACACGTGCCGTGGCCCCAAAGGGATCTCCATCTAAGGTCCCAGTGGCGCAGCCCGCATGGCCGCGCCGCCCCATTTTGGCACACCCCTCACACGTTTCGTGGCCCCGTATGCGAGGGAGGAGGGAGGAGGAGGAGGAGGAGGAGGAGGAGGAGGAGGAGGAGGAGGAGGAGGAGGAGGAGGCGGAGGCGGAGGAGAGGAGGAGGAGGAGGAGGAGAGGAGGAGGAGGAGGGAGGAGGAGGAGGAGGAGGAGGAGGAGGAGGCGGAGGCGGAGGCGGAGGAGGCGGAGGGAGGAGGAGGAGGAGGAGGAGGAGGAGGAGAGGAGGAGGAGGAGGAGGAGGAGGAGGAGGAGGAGGAGGAGGACGAGGAGGAGGAGGAGGAGTAGGAGAGGGGGAGGAGGAGGAGGGAGGAGGAGGAGGAGGAGGAGGAGAAGGAGGAGAAGGAGGAGGAGGAGGAGGGAGGAGGAGAGGAGGAGGAGGGGGAGGAGGAGGGAGGGAGGAGGAGGAGGAGGAGGGAGGAGGGAGGGAGGAGGATGAGGAGGGAGGAGGGAGGCGGAGGAGGAGGAGAGGAGGAGAGGAGGAGGAGGAGGAGGAGGAGGAGGAGGGGAGGAGGGAGGAGGAGGAGGACGAGGAGAGGAGGAGGAGGAGGAGGAGGAGGAAGGAGGGAGGAGGAGGAGGAGGAGGAGAGGAGGAGGAGGAGGAGGAGGAGGAGGGAGGAGGAGGAGGGAGGAGAGGAGGAGGAGGGAGGAGGAGGGAGAGGAGGGGAGGAGGGAGAGGAGGAGGAGGAGGGGGAGGAGGAGGGGGAGGAGGAGGAGAAGGGGGAGGAGAAGGAGGAGGATAATAAGAAGAAACATAATAAGCATACTATGCAGAAGAAGCAGAAGAATAATAATAATAGCAATAAGAATATTTAGAGAAATAATAATATGAATAAGAAGAAGAAGAAGGAGGAGGAGGAGGAGGAGGACCGCCGTGGTCGCTGTCGCCGCCGCTGATGCCGCCGTCCGTCGGCGCCGCCGCCGCCGTCATGTTCGCGGTCCCACCGGCGAACGGGACAGAGAGTCCCCTCCCCCTCCTCCTCCTTTCCCTCTTTCTCGTTTCCTTCTCCTTGTTGCCCGCGCGCAGCATCAGTGTCCATGTTTGTTGAGCCCACTTAGGTGTGAAGCCATCCAGTGCAAAGAATCGGAACCATCGCGGCGGTGGCCTGGCCCCGCCCGGCGTCTAGGATTCTTCAGCGACAGGTGTCTCATGGTCTTTCCAATCGTACGAACGGACTCATACAGCCATGGACATTGATGTTCGCTTTGCGGGGGTCCCTCGCCACCAGCGTCGTCGTCGTCGTCGCCGCCGTCTGGCCCCTATCTGCGCCTCTGGTCCCTGCTGCACTTCCTCCCCCTCATCCACCCCCTCCTCCTCCGCCTCCGCTCTGTCTTCCGTAGCCACTTCGGCTCGTGTTTTCACCCGTGGCCGCTTTGGCTGAAAATTCAGAGGCGGTGGGGGCCGTCGGAAGAGTTGCAGCGGTCCTGCGACTTCGTCGAGCACCTCGTCAAAAAGTTCGAGGACGGCGCGGTCAACCCGAGGACGGGGAAGCGGGAGCGCCGCCCAATGAAGCCCGACCAGGCCCTGTTCGTCACGGCGTTCGCGAACGCCTGCAACGTGGTGTGGGGCGAGGAGCAGAATATCGAGGGCAGCAGCATGACCAAGCACGCGAAGCGGAAGACGTTCCAGTTCCTGCTCCCGGGCCAGGGCGGCAGCGGGAAGACCGCCATGGTGCGGGAGATCGTGATGACGGCTATGGATGCGCTGCTCCCTGCAGGACCGGGCAAGGCGAACTCGTCCGCGCGGATAGTCTGCGCGAAATGGTCCCAGGCCGCGAACGTCTCCACGGACGCTCACAAGGCCGTCAGTTGCCACCGGGCGGGAGTCATAGGAGTGCAGTCCTTCAGGAACAAGGACATACCCGCGGGCGGCAAGCTGAAAGCGCTGCAGGACACGTGGGAAGCGGCCAGGTGCTTGATCCTGGAAGAGGTGAGCATGATCTCGCCCAATCTGTACAACGTGCTGGCATTCCAGTCCTACCCGGGGCGCAAGGCCGAGTGGGGCGGGGAGGAGCGGGACTGCGACCAGGTCGGCGGCGCCTTCGGCCGGATGCCCATCGCGATCCGCATGGGAGCCCGCATCTGAAGCCGACGGGAGGCAAAGTGTCCTCATCTCCGGCCTCGAGGAACTGGCGGCGGCGGGCGTCAACGTCGCTCCAGAGTGCCAGGCCGTGATGAGGCTCTTCTGCAACACGCCGCTGTGCTTCGAGCTCCAGGCGTCAAACCGCTTCAAGGACCCGGAACTCAGGGACCTCATGGCGTTCCTGCGCAAGCCGGGGAAGCAGGCCCCGCCAGCCATCCGGGCCACGTGGAACGCCATGCAGCTGAAACCCGATGATCGTAGACTCCGGGAGGAAAGGTTCCAGAACGGCCACGCGATTGGGTCCTGCTGGGGCACCGTGGCGCGCTGGATGACCCTGCGTGCCCAGCGGGGCGCGGGCGTCCTGAAGAAGCCCCTCTTCCTCGCGCAGGCCGCCGACAGGTCTGCCCCGACGATGCAGGAAGGACGCCGCCAAGATGATGATTGTGCCAGCCCGAAGAAACCCGGTGGCATGCACGGACTGCTCCCGGTGCACGTGGGCATGCGGATCTGGCTCCTGGAGGCGCTGGACCTCAAGAACGGCCTCGTCAAGGAGGCCGAGGGGCAGATCGTCCGCATCGTCGTGGACCCTCGAGATCGGGGCGACGTCGACAAGGCCGAGAGAGACGGGGAGAAGAGGATCTATCTGAAGCGCTTGCCGCTGGGGTTGTGGGTGCGCATGGAGAAGCACGCGAGCGCGCCCTTCGTGGGCGACCTCGAGCGCCACGACGACAGCCTCACTGGGGACCTCACGGGCCCGCTGGTGTCCATCGAGCCTCGCGCGTCGGAGCCGTTCACCTTCCGCGCCTCCAAGGTCACCCGAACGGGCGCCCCCTTCTCGCGCGGCAGGGTCATCGCCACGGCGGCGCGTCAGGGGTGCACCATTCGCGAAGGCGACCGGGCGAGGGGACAGCGCTCTGGGGCAGCTTTCGGCCAGACCTGCCGGGCGCGAGCAGTCCAGCCAGACCTTCTCTCGGTCCCGTGGACTCGCCCTGGGCCATCGGCTGTCCGGCGCGCTGCCCCCTCGGCCGACATCGCCCAGGCGTGACCCTGGACTGCGGCCGCCACGAGGTGGGGGGCGGCAAGAAGGAGGACGACGACTGGCGGCTGGATCTCTACGCCCTGCTCTCGCGCGCCACGCGCCACGAGGACCTCCCGCTTACGCGGGCGCCGCGCGTCGAGTTCTTCCTGGCAGGGCCGCCGGAGGGCTTGCGAAAGCAGCTGGGGCAGTTTGCTGCGCGCGCGAAGCGGCGCAGAAGGGAGGCGACGGCCCTCGCCAGGGAGCTGGGCTTCGCCGAATTTATCCGCGAGGCTTGATCTGCGGAGCGGCCCGCCCGCGCCTCGCCGTCTCTCGACGGTCTGAATGTTTGGCCTCGCGCCGCGGGCGACCCGCGCGCGTCGCTGGGACCCCCTCGGGGCGACCGGCGCGCGTCGCGGGAATTCCGCCCCGCGCTCTGCCAATGCGCTCGCCCCCACCGTCGCTCTGCCCAGCGGCCGCAGCCTTGCCCGTTATCAGCCAGCCAGCTAGCTCTCTCTGCTCCGCGCGGCAGACGACCCGCGCGCGTCGCCGGGACCCCTTCGGGGCGACCGGCGCGCGTCGCGGGGGCTCCGCGCGGCGCCGCGCCCGCAGCCATGGACATCGGCGCTCGCGGGCAAAGAGGCAGAGAAAGAAGGGGAAGGAAGCGGGCGCGATCCGCGAGGAGCGCGCCGACATGGGCGTCGCGGCGCGCGGGCGTTGCCGTCGGGGTTCCCGGGGAAGCTTCCTGCGGCGGCCACGCTCGGTTTCACGAGCACTCAGGGTCAGGCATACCTGAACCATTCGCATTCATATAGATTTACACCAGGCGTGGCCATGCTCGCATGCATGCAAATATACTCGCTCGCGCGCAGACTCATTCACACTCAGACTCACTCGCGCTCAGACTCACCCGCGCTCAGTCTCTCGTATTTCGACCTATCGTCTTCGTTCGCGTTGTGTACCCCGCCACGCAAGTCGGCACGCCCCTCATGCGGTTCGTGCCCCCATAGGGAGCGCAACAGCAGAAGAGATTCACAATTGCGGTAGTCACAACTGCATACGGTTGGGTCCTTCGCCAGGCTAATTGCAATTTTTGTTCGATCCACGGGGACTGCTTTTGTGGGCCCCTGGACCGTCAGAAACGGATCTGGGGGGGGACATGTTGCACCAAATGGACCCCACGGGGGGGTCCGGGACAGATTTTGAGCGGATTTGGCCTCTTCCCAACCCGTCCTGACCCTTTCTCTCAGAGCCTATCCAGCTGAGATCCTCGGGCCGCCTCCAAGCAATTGTGCCGTCCTCAGATGGAGGGTGTCCGAGCGTTCCTACGTCATTCCTGCGCGCGCGTGGTTGGATTGAGGGTTCGGTCTCGGGAGGCGATATTTGGGGGCGACGCATGTGGGCAACACACGGGGGCGATACTTGGGGGCAATGCCAGAGGGCAGCATTTGGGGGCAGTTTGGGGGCAACGCGCGTTGGCAGTATATGGGGGCAGTGCACTGCGGCAGTTGAGAGGGGCATCGCGTTGGGGCAATACTTGGGGGTAGTGTAGTGTTCGAGGGCACGACATCGTGGCGGCACACCCGCCAGTTCCCCCTCACTCTCATCCGCATGTGCGGGGTGCTACGTGTTCATTCTAGCAATGTTTCCTGTTGCATATGCTGATGGGCCTGTTTTCCACCACCACCATAACTTAGAGGGGGAGGGTGTCCTCCTCCTCGTTTTCCTTCTGCTCTTCGTATTCCTCGACCTTCTCCCCCTCCAATGTGTGGTGGTGATTGTGGAAAACAGACCCATCATATGTTTTTTTCATGTGTATCTCAGGAGCGAGTGAAGTTCTGGTGGTCCATGGAGGACAAGAGGGTGTGCAGGCTGCTGGTGGAGACCAGCGATGAGTATGCCACCGGGACCGCGAAGATCGACGTCCCCGAGTGGATCCCAGCGGTGGGTCTCAACGCACCATATTCCCCAATCAGTGCTTGTTAAGGGGTCCTAGCGGATGTTGAAAGATTTGGCGAAAGTTTCCCGCCGATTTTTGTAGCAGGCTGGGTTCCCAGGTTCCCAGTTCCGGGTTCCCGGGTTCCATGTTCTTGCAGGCCGATTTCGTTGGGTTCTGGGTTCCCGGGCTCCCGGTTATTGGTTCCGGGCCGATTTCGTTGGGTTCTGGGTTCCCGGCCTCCCGGGTTCCCGGTCGATCTCCTCAGCGAAAACCATTTACCGATTGGGTTTTTTGGGGTAATTTGTACGGGTGATATTTAGGACTGGTGAGGCCTCGGGTTGCGCACATGCACCCCCCCCAGGTAGTCCTGGCTGGCTTCAGCAGGCCCCCCGAGAAGTCTGGGGGGATCTCACACCCTGGCGCCGCCGGAGGCGGCGCCCCAGGTGCGCTTCGCGCCCCAGGGTTTCGGTCTACTGGAGGGGCCCCGGACGGGCCCCGTTGAGGCCAGCCAGAGCTTCCTCGGGGATTTGTCCGTGCATTGCCCGAGGCCTCACCGCATGTAAAGCAATCCCCTAAGCAGGGCTTGCCAGAGGAATGACTGCGGTTGGTCAGGGCGTTGGTCGGGTATCTGCTCGATCGGCAAATCTTTCTATTCCGTGTAGTGGTCCTCATCCCTCATCTGCGTTGTCGTGTGCGGATCCCTTTCCAGGACTCTGAGCTACGAGCCACAGGACGTCGTGGGTGACATGTCACTGGAAGCGGCGTTGTACATGGAGGAGCACGCGCTGGACCCAGCGGCCCCAGGGAGGTCGAAGCCGGGGCTGCAGTGCGAGAGTGCCGCCGAGTCGAGGAACTCGTGGCTCTCGCTCGCGTCCCATGCTCCAGAGGTCTCCATGCTGGCCGGTAACGCGGTCGCGAAGCTGGCAGAGGCGTCCGGAGTGGTCGGGCTTCTGCCGGAGAAGTTTGCTAACCTGCTGTCGCGGGTCGTCATCACTTCGCCCTCCGAGGCCGGCAGTGCACCAGCCAGTGCACCCATTCCAGCAGACTCGAGCTGTTCGGACTTCTCGGGCAGATGGGTGACACCTGCAGGCTCGTCCAGCGTAGGATCAGGAGGAGCAGGGAGCAGAGGAGCAGGAGGAGGAGGAGGAGGAGGAGGAGAAAAAGAGGGATAACGACTCTTACTTCCTGCAGGCTCGTCCGGCGTCGAAGTTGTGCAGACGGGCTGCTCCCTGTCGGTCACTAGCGCAGACGATGCACTGAATAGTACGCTCGTTGGAACTGCAAGCGGGGACACCATCACCATCGAGTCGACGAACTCTGTCGGCACGCTTGACGGTGACGCGATTCAATGGGACGAAGGATATCCATGGATCCGGCAAGCCGACGATCCTGGACCAAGCTCGGCGTCCGTCAGCGTGTTGTCTGAAGATCTCCAGACGTTCTCGTTCTCGTTCAAGTCAGCGTACCCTCTGGCCGGAGTTGCAGGCTTACAGACCGACGCCGACGGCGGGACCAGCTACAGCCCCACCCGCGACGTCGGCGAGATGAAACGGCACAGCACAGGGGAGATGCGCGTCGATTTGACCGCCCGTCGCCTGTACTTGTCTAGCACCGCCTCCGACGTGTCCACCGGCATCCCGCAGGTCTCCAGCAAGATCATCATTCGCGGGGACCAGGCCAAGATTTACGCTCAGACCAAATTGGAGTATGGCAAGGACGAGGAGGGATACGACCAGTGCTGGATGGTGAACACCACGGAGCTGCCAGTTCCGTCAGGCAACCCGCAACCAAATTGACTCAGTAAGTTCTTTATGTTGTTGCTGCTGCTTCTCCTTGTCATCGTCCTGCTCCTCGTTCTCTCGGTGCCCGATCAAGTTCTCCGACATCCCCTGGAGGTTACATGCGGTCTCCATTTCTTCGCCCTGTGGAGAGAAAGTGTCCACCCTCTCTAAGTTCGGGGTCACTTTTCGATCGCCTTCCTTGGATGTGGATGCGGCCCCCCCCCCCACGAACCTGGGGCCCCCACGAGAGTGCCAAGCTAGTCGAGCTTCGCGATCTGGGCGATTTCAGAGCGAGGCTCGAGTCCCTGCGACTGTTCTAGGGGTCGTGGCGTGAAAGTGCGAAGAGAATCAGAAGTCGGGCCTGTCCCTCTACAGGGGGAATATTCAACAATATGCAGAATTAGTCGGGGGACGATGTTTCGACATGTTTTAACATTTGTTAGAGATCTTTTTGTTTTTTATATAGATATTTGATCCAAAATCCGCCTGTAGGGGGACACGCCCGACCTAAAGATAATCGCGCTTCGCGGAGCGCGAAGCGCGAAGACGGCTGCCCCAGCGAGCTCTCGACAACGCCCTTGAGCCTGACGCCCTCCGTCGTTGGCCGGTCCACCTGTCACTGCGGGGCCCCGAGAACGGTCACGGACACAGGATGTGTCTTACGTCGGGCCTGTCCCTCCGCAGGAGGGATGTTCAAGAATAGTCAACAAAATAGTCTGGGAACGATGCTCTGATATATTTTTTTTTTGATATCTATTTTTGCTATTTCTCATTTTTGCCCAAAATATGCCTGTAGAGGGACACGCCCGACCTAAAGATAATCGCGCTTCGCGGAGCGCGAAGCGCGAAGACGGCTGCCCCAGCGAGCTCTCGACAACGCCCTTGAGCCTGACGCCCTCCGTCATTGGCTGGTCCACCTGGCACTGCGGGGCCTCGAGAACGGTCACCGGACACGGGATGTGTCTTACGTCGGGCCTGTCCCTCCACAGGAGGGATGTTCAAGAATAGTCAACAAAATAGTCTGGGGACGATGCTCGGATTTTTTTGGGGCTTTTTTTGAACATGTTGGGGCTATTTTCGTCCAACATCCGCCTGTAGGGGGACACGCCCGACCTAAGGTTGTTCCCCTTCGCATCATCGGCAGAACCATCGGGACCCTTACTGGGACAGGGTAAGGCGGCTCTGCCAGCATTCCCCCTTGTGTGGAGACGGGCGCTACGAAACCCGAAGGGGAAGGTACCGATTTCCATCTAGAAGGGGTGGGGCGGCTGTCAAGGCCAATGTTTTCCCGGGGGGGTGGGGATCGTTCTACTTGTCTCGGGGGCGGGCACTACGGGGATGATGTTTAGGGGGGTTGGGGGATACAGTCGAAAACGATGATACAAAGGATGGATCACCTTCCGAAGGGCACCCTTGCATCCTTGCCTCTTCGGTCCATCCTTAACCACTTTCGCTGACCAGCCCCTCTCGAAAAAGCTTCGACATGGGCGTCCAAGGCCCTTGCATCCTTACCGCGCGCCCTTGCTATCAGTATTGACTGTATGATGGCCAGGGCTATGAAGGGACATCGTGGCCGGGGCAAGATGTCTCCCCACATGTCAGTGCCCCCTCTTTTCAATTCAATACGTCCATTGGGTCCCCCTGAGCCGCGCACGTGCCTCGGGCCATGATATGCACCCCCCTTCTCGGACGCCACTTCGTGCACGCCACCGATTTTCAAGAAGTTTCCCCGCTCCTCCGAGGCGGCAAGCAGCCGAACCCCTTCCAGTACAGCGAGTCCGCTGGCGAGTGCGAGGGGAACTGCAGGGAGTCGAGGGTGTCCAGAAGCGCTGCCGCGCACACCCACCGCCGCGCGGTGCACAGAGGTGGTGGAGGAGGAGGAGGAGGCGAAGGAGGAGGAGGAGGAGGAGGAGGAGGAGGAGGAGGAGGAGGAGCAGGATTCTTCCAGGTTCGAGGTTCTTCTCAACCTGGCAGGTCGGGGTTGTTAGACTTCCCCAAACTGTGTCTGCATTTAGGGCTTGAATCTCTACCTCTTCAGGAAGTGCATGGTCTGCCTGGGTTTCGGCTGCTGCCCTGTTGGTGGGCACCTCGTGTGCGCCCCGCGCTGGGGAGGTACTTGCCAGGGTGTCGCCCGGTGCCCGCCCATGGGCGCCTCGTGGGCGCCCTGCGACGCTGCCCGCCTGTGAGCGCCTCGTGGGTGGGTGCCCCGCGCTGGAGAAGTATATGCCAGGGTTTCGCCTGGTGCCCGCCCGTAGTCGCCTCGTCGGCACCCCGCGCTGGAGAGGCATGCCGAGGTTTCGCCCCGGTACCCGCCCGCGGGCGCCCGTGTGCGCCTCGTGGGGGCCACGCGCTGGAGGGGTATGCCGAGGCTTTGCCTGGAGCCCGCCTGTGGGCGCCTCGTGGGCGCCCCGCGCTGGGGTTGTATGCCGAGGTTTCGCTTGCAATATGCCAGTTCTTTTAAGAGGGAGAGATGATCTCTATCACCCCCTCCCGGGGTTAACGGTAGTTTGGGACACTGTAAGTTACATATGGTTTTGCTTCCTCGCGTGCCATCCTCGGAAGGATGGGCATTGAACCCCCATCGCCCCTGCCAAATTACACTATTCGCGCGCACTCGTGTATCTCACAACATCGTGACTTCTGGCAACAGGGAAGCAAAGCCCACTCGCGTGCACCGCCGCGAGTGCACTTCAAAACCATTAGACAGCGTTGTGTCTTTCAACGCTGTCAAGTCACGGCTAATCAAACTTCTGTGCATAGCATGTGTTTCAGCAGAAAGCCTGCCAGGATTCCGCGCGCCGTCCCATTCGTTACCAGGTTAAGGGAATTAGTTTTGTTATTCGGAATTCTGTCACATCGGTCTACCCAGACCAGTTGCGCGCGCATTTCGAAAACGTTCAACCATGATCGATCGCCGACTAGCTGTTGGTTCTTTCCTCTTCTCTTCCCGCCTTCCGTTAAACTGCCATCGCCTTTCGGGCTCAGCGCCCGCCCCACAGCGGCCACGAGAGTACTGTTGTGTTGTCCCCGGCCTTGTAACTGAAAACTGTGTATCCATTCTTCCTCCTTTGTTCGAATTTGTGCCTGGTGATGCCACAAACACAAGAGTCGCTGGAACAATGGTGCGACGGATGAGGGGGAGCAGGCACGAGTGCTTCCGCAAGCGCCGGGAGGCGACATTGACAGACCAGTCTGAAAGGATGGGTGGCAGCATGGATGAGGAACTCTCCCAAAGAAGGCGACCAGATCGTGGTGGGACTCCTTGGAACTCGACCCATGGCGGAACTGTTGAGAAGACCGTGGATTGACGGAGTGGTAGAAACAGAACTACTGACAACAAGATCGCCGATCAAAGTGGAGTTTCCCAGTAGAGAGGTCCACGGACGTCTCGGCGCCCTCGCCTTTACCCGGCTTGGGACATCTGGACGCGTACCCCGCCGACCTCATATCGTGGTCGGCTGGCGCGGGGTTTCAGCCAGATCGCCGTGCTTCCAAGACCCGAAGGGATGCCCATCAAATTGCAGCGCAGGTTCAACAATAAACAACAACAGTTGGACACCGTGACCGGGCCCCACCGCCGCTGAGAACATGAGTCTCCTCAACGGTGAACGACCCGGTGAGCAGGAACGGGAGGCTCAGTCCCTTGCCATGTCCGCCTTCGGAATCAATTCCAAAGCGAGTTTGGCCAACTACATCATCAGGAGAAACGAGCAGCTCGCCAGTGCCAAAAATTGGACGGTTCATGCTCGACTCTGTTAAAGCTCAGCGCCACGAGGAAAGCGCCAAACACGCCTTTTTGAACAGGATCAACCTGATAACCCTTGCTCACGGAGGTAAGTCAGCCGCTCCGTCCGAAGGGCCATCCGAGCCCTGGACGTGAGCGAAAAGTTTCTACTACTTCCGAGGACTACTTTCGCTGCGACCGACGGCCTCGGCCCACGTTCAACTCAGAAGACGAGCGAGACATCGAAGCAGACGCCGAGGCTTTCGGCATTCTTGTCTACCACGGTGGAAAGGGTTTTCGCGGGAGGACGGGGCCTTCCAGGCGTTTGCAGAGTTGGCGACGCAGACAAGACGGACCTGGAATTTATCAAAGCAGCTTAAGACAGCCAGGCGAGTCGATCGGGGCTTCTTCGATGGAAATGAGAGCGGGCCGACGTCATCATTTAGTCCTGGAGCGGGCTCTCGTCGCATTTCCCGGCGGGATTTCGAGAAACGCACTTGATGCACGAACTGCGGAGAGAAAGGCCATTGGAGAGATGATTGCACCAAGCCGCATCGGTCCGAGGCGGATCGACTGAACAGCGAGGGAAGTGGACCGCCCTCGACGCAGGGCCAGGGGGAATTGGACGTTTACTTCTTCGTCGTCGATGCCACCAGGCTTGCAGCGCTCGCGGGCGACCTTCGTCGAGCAGCTGCAGGACCCGCTGGGCCAGAAGATCGAGTCATTAGCTGGCGAGAAGTTTGTTGGCGTCGCCCTCGAGGCATGAGAGATTGCCTCTGGCGGGCGCGGCAGCGGCTCGAGCGCTGATTGCAATGCCGGATCTGGCGGCCTTGGTGGACTCGCCGGGAACAGTATCTCGAGGGCTCAGCGCGGCGACCGTCTTCCCAGCGCCCGTGGAGTCGGCGGTCGCGCGAGGCCGGCGGCGAAGGCCCCGAGCCCCGAATCACCATAGGGGCAATTCGGGCCAGGGCTACCTCGGGTTCGTTCTTCGAGAATCCGAGCCCGAGTTGCCCCGGGCCCGAGCTGCCCTGGATTGCTCGGGCGCCAGGGGCCCAACATCAACAGGGGTAATTCGGGTCAGGGCTAGCTCGGGCTCGTTTTTTTTGTTTGGAATGCGAGCCCGAGCTGACCTGGGCCCGAGTTGCTCCAGTTATCACTCGGGCGCCCAACGTCGCCCCCCCCCCCCCCCGTTCGCGCCCCCCATGCATCCAGCCAGCCCCTCGACTTCGCGGCGGCTGACATCGACGCGGGCGCGATGGCCGCGGAGGCGGGCGGCAATGCGAAGACCGCCCTGCCTGCGACCCAGTTGCCGCCAGAACATTGACCGACATGCCCGGTCGGGCGCCGCCCCGAGGAGCGCGCGCCCGACCAGGAGCTCGCCGGCAAATTCCCGAGCTGCACGCGCCAGAGCGGGCATTTGGAGAGTGCGACAACCTCGCGGGATAACTGCGTCAGCGACCAATCCGGCCTGGGCGACAATTGGGAGCTGACGGGCGACCGAGCGAGCCGGGCCCTTTTGAAAGTTCGGCGAGAGTTGCGGAGGCTGGTCAACCGCGCGGGCCTGCCCCCGGACATCGGCCGCCTTGGCGACAAGGTGACGACGCGCCGCTGCTGCCGTGTCGATGAGATGTTTTCAGACGGGCTTGGATTACGACGCCGACTGGCGCGGGGAAGAGGGCCTCTCTGTCAAGATGCAACGCAACTGGGCCGGACGCTCCGAGTTGCGCCCGAAGATCGCGCGGCCCCCAGGGGCAGCTCGGGCGGGGGGCGGGTTATCCTGGGGGCAGGGGCGGCGCCAGCCAGATCGCATATAGTTATTGCTTATGCTTTCCCTCCCCCCCCCCCTCTCCCCCTCTCTCTTTCTCTCTCTCTCTCTCTCTCTCTCTCTCTCTCTCTCTCTCTCTCTCTCTCTCTCTCTTTCTCTCTCTCTCTCTCTCTTCTTTTTTTTTTTCTCTCTCTCTCTCTCTCTCTCTCTCTCTTCTCTCTCCTCTCTCTCTCTCTCTCTCTCTCTCTCTCTCTCTCTCTCTCTCTCCCTTTCTCTATCTCTCTCTTTTTTTTTTTTTTTTTTTTTTTTTTTTTTTTTTTTTTTTTTTTTTTTTTGTTTTTTTTTTTCTCTCTCTCTCTCTCTCTCTCTCTCTCTCTCTCTCTCTCTCTCTCTCTCTCTCTCTCTCTCTCTCTCTCTCTCTCTCTCTCTCTCTCTCTCTCTCTCTCTCTCTCTCTCTCTCTCTCTCTCTCTCTCTCTCTCTCTCTCTCTCTAGTCTCGGCTCGAGAGTGCCCTGCACTCAGACCGCAGCCGCGACGCGAAGCGCCCCGCCTCGGAGTCAGTCTCCCAGGCCTCGCGAGACCGGAGGGGTCCCAGCAGGACCCTACTGATTCGCGTCACCTCCTATCCCCCCCACCAGAGTGCCCGCCGCAATGGCCCCCGCCAAGCCGGAGCGCCGTCGCTCTTCCAAGCAGCCGCCGAGCTCACGTCCTGCAGCTGAAGGGTCTCTCCTCCAACGCAAACAGGACTGCATGGCAGCTTTCAAGCAAGCGGGGTCTGACCGCCCCACGGCCGCATACAACGGGCTCGCCGAGCTGAACGCGGACGAGCTGCAGGCCACGTACGACATGCACAAGACCAACACAAAGAAGCTCGGCAGTGCCTTGATCCGCATGTGTGCCGCCAACCAGATCAGCTACACGCTGGATCACCACCAGCGCAGCAAGCCTAAGCGCAGTGGTGGTGACACACCCTACCCACCAGCTGCGTCCGCACGTCTTCAGGCTGCGGACGCCCAATTCATTGCCTTGGACCCGGCCTTCTGGAAGGTCCCAGTCCTGGCCGAACCCACATCACTCGATGACGGCAAGACGTACAAGCCCAGCATCAGCCTCCACGACTACGAGAGCGGTGAACGGCTGCTGCAGCACCATCTCGAGCAGGGTAAGCGTACCACGGGTCAGCTTGCGATTGCTGTCATGGGCCCAAAAAACGATAACTACGTCGGTACCGAGCTCGCCGTCCCCGTGCTGAAGCGCCACCCCAAGGCGCCCAAAGTGGTCCACACGCACGTCCCCGTGACCGTGTACCAGCTGGGCACCAAGGAAGTCG